GCAGCTAGGAATAAAATGATTAAAATTTTCAAGACAACAAGCCTCGAGTATTATGCATAAATCTTTTCCGGTGAAAGAGTTTCTTGATAAAAAATCTGTGCATTTGAACAAAAAATGCTATATTGGAACAAACTCCATAAGATATTTTAACGTCGTGTGTTCAGATATCAATATAATTATAATATTTATAATAAAAAATTTAAACATATCCATTTTCGGATGCAGGCAAATTTAATTTGAAGCAAAAATTGACAATAACTTTTATCATTTCTTCAGAAAATATTAAATCTTTGAAAGGGTAACCCCTGTTATGTCAAAATAAAAATTAATAGAGGCTTTTAACTTTTTTTAAGATTTTTTACGTTGGTGCTGTTTATTTAAATTTATTTATTGTATGAGTGTTTTAAGTAGCATTTTATCTACGCAAGAATGTTTAAACGCAAGAACGTAGTTCGAGGGTTTAATATTCTTAAGTGGATAAAAGGCAATTAAAATACGAATGCAATACATCGTTTTATCCATAATCACATCACAATCATATTTGTGGACTCGGAATTATTGAAATTTAATAAAAAAATATTCGCTTAATATTTCTTACTAGTACTCAATGAAACGTGGTAGGATTTGTTATACCTACTGGTTGCTATAGTACGTTGTTTATTATAAATTATTTAATAAATAATTCTATCTAAATTTGGTAAAAATGCAAGAGAGTAATTGTGTTCCTATGGCTGTTTTTGAAGAAGCTCAAGAAGCAATTTTCCATTTATTGCTAGCGAAATCCAGGGAACGTTACGAAAAAGTGTTCGCCGAATTTAACGAATGGAGGGAAAAACGGAGAGTAATGACAATAAATGAATAAGTCATGCTGTCGTATTTTTTAAATTAGAAGAAAGAATATTCAATTTAATCTTTGTGGTCAAAGTATTCGATGTTGAAGGCTACTATAAAGGTCTATAAAAATATAAATATTGAAAAATATCAAGCTTACTGCTTATTTGAAGAGTGAATCGAGAGGATACAAATCAAAAAAAGCTGCAGTATTGGAAAGAGCACATATTGAAGAATTTTTCAATGGGGCTTCCGATAAAGAATATTTACGGTAATATATCATTACCTTTTACATGTTGTTAGGTATATAGTGAACTTTGAATTATTTTAACTTGCACAATGGGGATTCCTGGTGCCTGTCGATGCTGCGAATTGACAAATTTGAAAATTAGTTACGTAAAAGTCGTTTTCAGGTACCTACTTGTTTCAATACCTGACACCAAGACGGATATTTCAAGAAAATTTACAATTATAGGAGAAGGATTTTGCGTGAATGCTGTTGAAATATGCAGAAAATATATTTCTCTGCGACCAATTCGCCTAATACAAGACAGATTATTTTTAAGATACATTAATCGAAAATGCTTACTGTCCTTTATATGAGGCGCACTTCAACAACTTTATTGGCCAATAAAGGTGCTGATCTTACAACCATCAAACGGCATGGTGAATGGAAAAGCTTCCTTGTAGCAGAAAGTTATGTTGAGGAGTCTATATCTAACAAACTTGATATTTCAAGGAAAATCCAAGGAAAATATAGCTGTTCCTTACAAGAAGAGACATCCGAAACTTGTGCAAATTCTTCACAAACTTCGGCAGATGTTATGCGTTCCGAAAATGATGGCAACCAACAATGCTACAAGAGTTGTTATTAACGGAAAGGAAGTTAAATGTGATAAAACCAAAAACGAAATGTCTATTACTATAAATGTAAATGTTAATGTTAATAAGTAAATAAATTAAATTTGATTTATTATAGGTTTATTATTTTTTCATTATTCTACTAGTGAAATAAAGTTACTTTATTTCACTAGTTGATAAAATATCACTTTAGACGGTTCATATGGTGTGGATAAAAGTCCGATTATAAGGTGATTGTCGATAAAAATATATTAATTGAACAGAAATTAATTTTAAGTTAAATAAGTTAATACTAAGAACTCGAAAGTGTTAACCTTTTACTTTTATTCTAACGAATAGGATTGTGCCCTGAAATTTTGTAGATTTTTTACAATTATCCTACAGAAAGAAATAAAAATAAATAATTAATTTATTATCTACTTAATTTAAATAATATGTACATTATTACATTATTATGTTGCCGAGAAGGTAATTAGTATTTTATTAAGAACCATGAATATGTATACTTATAAATATTTTTCAGTTTTTTTTTTAACTTTAACTTAACTAACATTTATTCCATTTGTTCGTTCTTAGAACAAAAATTAATGTCACCTAAAACTACGTTCTTTTTAACCTTAACTTGTTATTTAACTGGATTGTATAATTTTAAGAAATACCAATTTTAATTTGATTCACAGCCGATGAAACAGAATAATGTATTTTAATGTAATCTCGATCATATTTTACAGTATTTTTCTATTTATTCACACACTCGTGGGAGTTCAATATAATGATTCATATCTTTATTTTGGCAAACTTACCAGTTTTTAATTTTAAATGAGAAATTCCATTGAGATCAAAAGTAGATTTACATAATATTTTCACAGCGTATTTAATTATTGTGAATTCTGTTTCCATTTCAGTTCACACAAAGTGTATTGCTGTTTTGGTCTATGATTGCTGCCAACAAGAAATCTCTTCTCGAAATTTTACTAAATTCCTTTTTACAGTGTAGAAAAATACAATTATAAATGTTGAAGTCAACTATAATTAACATAAAGAACTAGTTTACGATGAGATTTATTGTTTGGATATACATAATGATTCATACAAAATATCTATTGCAAACTGTATGAGTTCTTTGTGTGTGTGTGTGATTTAAACTCGTGTAACTTCAAAAAAAAAAAAATAAACTTTATTCTTCGATCTAGCGTACATCTACTCTCCACTGCTGCTTTACGAATACTAATAGCTGTCTCGCTCTCTCTCTACCGCGTGCATACCACCAGTGGTGGGGATCACCTCTGTGCGTTCAGGTCGAGCGATACAGTGTGTTGCATACATTTACATTATTAAATTAAAAATATACATACAACATCAAACATGCCGCGCCCCTTGAAAGGCTGGGCTTTCAACATAAATGAAATAAAGATAAATTCAACTAAATATTCATACATTAGGCAACATAACAAATATGTCAAATAACAGTTTTCATTAATAAGACATTCATCAAGCAGATTCGATGGGCAAAACACAAATACTTCTCACGGCACGTTTCACTACACCACTTGCGACCTTTATAGTGACGACGCGCACTACACTATCGGTTCCAGGATGTGTTTGGAGTATCCTACCCAACTTCCAATATAGCGGGGGAAGATTNAACCTATTTTCTAGTTCAATGATTTTTTCCGAGCTACTTGTATCAAGATTTTCAATAAACGTGTTAAACCTAGTTAATTGACCTTTCAGTTGTCCACGGCGTGCAATAAGCTTTTTTAACTCAGACATGTTTGTTAAAAAATAATAAATGCTTAAAATTAAGTTGTTGGTATTATAATCGCAATAACCTTAAACAGATTGAAGCAGTGTGTTTGTGTAAAAAAAAACGTAGGAAATAAAAAGGGATTGTGTGACTCACGACCTTGCCGCCTGTAACTGATAACCGGTGCCGGTGCCCTGGGTCCCGGTGCACGTGTAAGCAAGCGCCGCTTCTCTTCTGTCTAGGAGTCTGCGAAAACCTCGCTTCGTCGTTTTTTGTTTTCAAACTTGTAGTTAAGACGATCAGGTTCTCGTTGGCTGAGTACTATTTTCCTTTTCCTTGTGTAGAATTGTTAAACTGTATGTAATTGCGAAGGGACTGTAAACTTCACAACCAAATATTATTGTTTTGTTAATGTTCTTGTTTAACCATCGGCTCGAATGGACCAAAATTATGTATGAGTTCTTTGTGTGTGTGTGTGATTTAAACTCGTGTAACTTCAAAAAAAAAAAAATAAACTTTATTCTTCGATCTAGCGTACATCTACTCTCCACTGCTGCTTTACGAATACTAATAGCTGTCTCGCTCTCTCTCTACCGCGTGCATACCACCAGTGGTGGGGATCACCTCTGTGCGTTCAGGTCGAGCGATACAGTGTGTTGCATACATTTACATTATTAAATTAAAAATATACATACAACATCAAACACAAACTGTTCTGTAATAGGAATTTCCTCTCACCCAAAAATTAAGTAATTCTAAATTTTTCAGATGTTTATGTTATTACAACTTTAAAACACATTTACTTCTGCAACTTTTGGAAAAGTTCTTGTTATTCAATTGAATCAAAAATTGATAGGATTGATTCTACGATCACATATACAGCCTGTTACAAATTCGCTTCTGCAACTTTGCTTCCATTTAAGCTACTTCGCATCTCTTACCGTTTCCGAGATAGCTGAAGTGAGAAGCGAATTTGTAACAGCCTGTATACAAAACTGAAAATTTTTAACTTTTAAAGTCAAAATTTCAAAGTATGGGACTGAACTGGCTTCAAAACGATTCATATCAAAATAAAAAAAGACTTTTTTAAATCTATCCTTTCCTTTGTAATCAGGACAGTAAGTTTGTGAAAAGTGCAAACAAATAATTATTGAATTGACAGAGCTAAACCTTAGATTTAAATGTATTTAGGTTGCATAACATCCTGTATCTTAAATATAATGCGTATTCCAATTCACATTTATAATAACAGAAATATGAATTATCAGAAATACTTAGGAGTACTGTGAAAAATTCTTGTTTCATTAATTTAGTAAACTTCCGTTATATGTAAAAATCAGTTTGACTAATTTGCTTCAAAGGGCGTCACAAAGCAGTTTTAATAACTTTTCAGTTGCCGAGTCATCGACGTAAACGCTTACAAAATAGATTTATAAAATATTTGATTATTAAATTCAAATATAACATGTTGAATGCATTAACTTCAAGGCAGTCGCACTTCAACTACATTAAAAAGTTCTAGTTTAATACCGGCTCCCAAGCAAATTACATTAAAACTTACCAATCAACACGTAGAAAAGGAAATAAACAAACATGTTTATAACGATGCGAATTTTCCTAATTTACACCAACTTGAGGACGGTTAGCAAACAAAATTCAGACGAACTCACACATACATGTTTATCGGAGCGAACTTCGTGAAAATGTTATAAAACAGAAACCGCTTGGTTTACTAACACACAAATAGGCGAAGAGATAGCTCGTCGGAGTTTGCTATTAGCATTGTGTTCGGGACATGTGATAAAAGACTAGTGTCCGAGGTATCTTAGTGGAAAGCATAACGTTCTTGGAAAGTACTCCCTGCCATAATATACCATCGTCCGCGAAGAACGAAAAGTACTACTGCGCTCGCTACGTTGCCAGATTCATCGGTCACTTACAGGATACTAATAATCACTTATTAGGTACTAAGGCGATCAACAGGTAATCAAATCCTTGTCCGACATATTTCCCTTCTAGTGCATTCTTTTGGGAAAGAGACTTGTTCCGTTTGATGGAAAATTCAATTTGTTAAAAACCAAAATAAACTTGCAGCATGTTGACTAAACCAACAAAAAAAGTATATGAGATTTTTTAAGTGGTTTTATCAACTCGTGCTGGTATATAAAATACCGTGGTTTTTTGGGTTACGCAGTGGCCTAACTATCTGGTCGCCACCAATTACAGACTTGGCAAAGAATCTTTTACCTGCCTCTATTATTCTCGGGTTATCTTCTTCTGCTTCTCCTAGTGGTTGGTCCTAATAAATCCCATAGCACTGCGGCCTAATTAGGCCTATTGTGCGTCCCACTACTAGTCCTATTCAGCAAGTAGATTTGTCCTTTTTACAAAGTCCAAAAGTTTCCTTGCTGACATTTCTCTCAGTTCCTTGGGTTCCAAATAGGGTCTCCCAAGGAGCGCCATTCTGCTACGTGCAAACCCCGGGCACTCGCCCAGGATGTGCAGAGAAGTTTCGCCGATTCACATCCTCGGCAGACCGGACTGTCTACAAGCTTTAGCTTATGTAGATGTTTCCTAAAGTGACAGTGTCCCATTATGAGTCCTGTCACTCTCCTGAGCCGGATTCTGTTCAAGCTCAGTAAATCATTCGCTCTTTCCTTCGAAGGATACTCCATGAGTTCCTTAGAATGTCCTGGCCTTGAAGTCCAGTATTTCCTGTGTTCTGTCTCAGTCCATTTGCCCAGAGTCCCGACTGACCACACTGGGAGATGTGCCACAGAAGGGTTCCGGGCCAATGAACTCTGTCTCGGATCCCTTCCTAGCAAGTTCATCCGCTTTCTCATTTCCACAAATGCCTTTGTGTCCTGGCAGCCAACACAGTTCGACTGTATTGTTGGTGGCCAGTTCAGTCAGCATTTGTAAACAATCCCACACCAGTTTTGAACTTATCTTGTGTTCGCCTAAAGCTTTAATTGCAGCTTGACTATCAGAGAATATATATATGAGTTTACGTTTATAACATCTATGTACATTCTCTGCCAGACACGTCATTATCGCGAAAATTTCTGTTTGGAATACGGTAGGGAACTCCCCCAAACTGTAGCTTGCACGCCATCTGGGTCTGAGTCCATATATTCCTGCACCCGTCCCTCTGGTCATTTTGGAGCCATCTGTAAACCATACTAGGCTCCACCTTTCCATGGTTATACTCTGTAAGAGAGGACCTGCTATCAGATTAAAAATTAATTAGTGATTAAGCTTATTTAACTTTCGTGAATAACTAAAACATACCCTCTAACTTCATTATTTAAATGCGTATACAGGGTATTGCAATATTCCATTAACAAAATCTTATAGTTGATCCCTTTAGGTTAGTAGGTCACTTTCTGTCACTAGGTAAGTGTTTATAATGACACTTTCTTGCACGTTTACATGGAAACCGTAATTGGTGTTTATTTAAATTCTTAGTGATCCAGATTTACCAACCAACTTTGATTTTCTTGTGGTTAAATATTACGCTGAACGAAAAACGCATTCTTTAAGCTTTTGAATGACGTTCAAGTCCAAAAAAATTTTATAACGTGCCGAAAATACGTAAGAAAAAAGATAATGGATTTCCATAAGAAACAATTCTTTGCAAAAAGTATCTAGTTGCAATAAAGTTTTTAAGAATATCAAAAATCTCAAAAATAAAAAATATATTTCTAAATCCCCGAAAAGACTACAGCCAACACAATAATTATACATGTTTTGATGATTGTATATTATTTTTTAAATTAAACATTTGTTTTATATTACATCAACTCAGTAGCAAGTATACAGAACTTCTGCAAACTTGACAACGTCGCGCTGTTGCAGTCCCCACACGTACTTCCTGAAGACCTGCACTATGTATATCGAGCAATGTCAACCATGACGATGCTTTATGAACGAGGCAGCACGTGATATTGCGACAGAGACAAGGTGCTACGGGAGCTTCCATGTCTATCGCTAGGACGTTGCCTTTAGAAGGACGTAGGCTGGCTGTCGACCGATGAAGATGCTGCAAATGGGTATCTGACGATTCAAGTTCATTGCTTCGTGAACTACCGCATGTTTAATGGTAATGGCATGTTCACGTAAAAGTATGCATTAGCGGGCAATTAATTCACTTGTTTACATTGTTGGTCATTATTAGTTACATGATTTGTTCCTGTGTTTAAATGATTATTTTGTCAGTAGCGACAGTTTCAAATTATTCTGATTAGCATTTTAATAATCCCAGTATCTGCGACATTGTACAATAACATGTGGATGTCTCCCTCAGATCTGAAGCATCGCATCGATCAATTTATTCGATACGTATCTAACGCCACCTTAAGGCCTGCCCTGTTGGCCTAGCGTGCCGGTGAACAATCCTGGATTTTTTGCTGAGAAATGTCACCTCAGACCTACTCCATTTCATAGTCTTTACCATTTTAAGGAATATTAGCTTGTAATTAAAATAATTCATGCAAATAATTTTCAATTTTATATGCACAGGGTGTAACTAAAGTATTTGACCATTTTTTAATTACTGATTCTACGTCACAAATGAAAAAAGTTTCTGTACAGATTCGGAAGTACTTCGTTTTTGAGGTACAGAGTGTTAAGAACTACAATTTTTAAATTTTTTTAATTAAACAATTTAATTGTAAAAAACCGCTGAAAAGGTTCACATTTTCGCTTTAATTTTTTCTTCCAAGCTATTTCAGATACTAGAAGTTTAACAAAATGTATTTTTGCTGAATTTTGATAGAATGCATTTCAGTTAAATGATGTAATATAAGACCAATTATTCCTAAAACTGTCACTATAAATTATTTTTTAAATAATTCAAGTAATCAGGTTATCTATGAATGAAATAAAGTATTATTTACACGACTTTATGACGGACTTTAGTTATACAATAAATATTAATATCTACTTAAAAGACATTAACACTGTGCTTTGAGAAATTAAATTATTAATACAATATGTCGCGCTTTCATGAAATACTAAATTTAATTTCTCTCCTTGCTATGAAAATGAAAATAATAGAATTTATGAAGTGAGTTACGTTTTACTTTCAAAGAAAAACTAATAACACTTAAATAATACTGGAAATAAAAATACAGCTATCTGGTAAACCGAATGGTACATGGATATATTCTTCAGGAAATGATATTTACACATATGCAAGTTTGTTACTATTATTACACTTTGACATTTACGTGCAATGCCAGTCACTAAGGAGTTTAAGAACGACACAAATAAGTTTGCGTTTTTGGCTCAGGCAGACCTGCGCGATTTGGCATGGGAGCATTTACTGCGTCCAGTGCGCTTTGTGGGCGGAGCTATCTCAGACGCAAACTTATTGGTGTCCGTCTGTACACGGCTTTCTTCGATCATTTGTTGTAACTTGAAAAGAATCCATTCATTTTTTGTTTGTGATGTAAACTAAAGTACCTTTTAATACCACAAGTCATATAATAGTGATAAGAAAATTTATAATTTAGTTACATACAGGGTGTTTCAAGGGAACCTTGACCGCCCTGAAGATTTTAAACTGAAAACTATATCAAATGATATTCATTGAAAGGATATTTTTATCTCCTTCATAAGCTTGTCCTCTTTTTTACATTCATTTAGCAGTTTCTGACAAACTGTTGATTCCTGACTTTACTTCTAAGCAAAGCATGATGCATTAATTCCTGCTTTATTAGCATGTCTAGTTATTTTTGTTTTATTTCGATACGTAAAATATTTTTCTAAAAAAACAATATACAAATTTTTAATAAGGAAGTCGTTATAATAAAATGTAGAGGATGAAAAATCAAATCGTTTATTTATATTATGATTTAAAATTTGTAAGATGCGTTGGAGAACGTAGGGATAAATGAAATGTCACATTTGCTCAAAAGGGAAATAACAAACGATCTACGTCGTCCTACCTGTTGGAAAGTTTTACAGGAAAATACACTATCACATCCCCGGACCTTTAGACTTCTTTTTATGGGAATATGTGAAAAGTGTTGTGTATTTCACGGAAGTTCGTGACATCGACCAAATGCGACATGGTATTGCTGGAACTGGTAATACGATTCGAAAGGACGTGGCAATGTTGCAACGCGTGCGAGCGAATTGGATACGTCGCGCTGAAGCTTGTGTGCAAGCAAATGGTGGGTCAAATCAAACATCTTCTACGAAAATCAACAGTTTTCAAAAGGTGGCACCTTGCAATGTTGAGGTAAGTCGAATTCTAAAATTACGTTTTACGCAACACAAATCCGTGTATTTACCTCATTTTGACATAACGGACATGTGGCAAAGGTATTTGACATAAGTTCATTAACACCCTGTATTGAACGCATCTCTTAATAGGATGATTATTACAATGTACAGTATTAACAAGTTATATCGTTTTCCTAGATATTTTTTATTAACCTGTATAAATTATGAACTTATTCTGAATTTTTAAGGGCCGAAGAAAACTTTTCTCAGAAGTTATAACGGAATCAATTACAGCTAAATTTTCATTTCAGATTATTTTACACAATCCCTCTAGAGTCTAGAGGTACGTAACTATTTAATTTCAAATTTGTTTCTAAGCGCTATCTGAAGATTAATGGAAGTAGGAATAAGCTAAAAATGTTGAATAATTAATTTTATTTTAAGTAGGAGCAGAATTTAGTATTTCTCTTTGTCTCTTTATCATTTAATCTTATACGAATATATTACTTTATCTAAGTAGAATTTTTAAAGTTTCCGCAATATTTCTTCTTAAAATATTCC